CCGCCCGCTCCCCCCTCGCCGCGCTCGGGCTCTGCGGCTCCCGAGCATGTGAGCCGCCTGCCAGGGCGCGGGGCCCTGAGCCTGCTCCGGGCGGGGCAGCGGCTCACACTCCCGGGAGCCGCAGAGCCCGAGCATGGCGAGGGGGAGCCGGGGGGCGCGCTGGGCCGTAGCCTGGGCAGGAGGGGCAGGAGGGGCGGCTGCTCCCCACTAGCGGCGCCGCTGCCTTTGCAGGGCTGCTGCCCCCCTGCGCCGCGCCGGCTCCTCCATGGCTGGGGCTCGCCGCTGCCGCAAGCCGACGCTCCGGCTCTCCGGTGCCTCCGGAAGGCGGCTCCTCCCTGCCGAGCTCCTGCAGCGGCCCAAGCCCGGCAAAGCCAGTGAGTGGTCTCGGGGCGGGGGCCACCGGGGTGGGGTGGGGAGGGTTCGCGGGGGGGCTGTGCACCCTCCAGGGGAGATCAGGGGGCGGGGAGGGGGGAACCTGGTCTGGGGAGCAGCCTGGGCACGGCAGGCCCCTGGGGTCTATAAAGGCTCGTTGAGATTTGCCCCTCAATGAACCAATGTGCAGGGGCGGGGGGGCGGGGGGGGGAGCACGGTGGAAGTTTCTCCTAGGGCGCCAAATATCCTTGCACTGGCCCTGGGGGCACCAGGCCTGACCCTCCGCTCTTCCTACCCACAATGCCCTGGGGGAGACACCTGGCCTGACCTCCCATTCTCCCTACCCACAATGCCCTGGGGGCACCAGGCCTGACCTCCCGCTCTTCCTACCCACAATGCCCTGGGGGAGGCACCAGGCCTGACCTCCTGCTCTCCCTACCCACAATGCCCTGGGGGAGGCACCAGGCCTGACCTCCCGCTCTCTCTACCCACAATGCCCTGGGGGAGGCACCTGGCCTGACCCTCTGCTCTCCCTACCCACAATGCCCTGGGGGAGGTACCAGGCCTGCCCACCACACTCTCCCTGTTTGGTTCTCACCATCATGGGTGAGAGGAGTGACCAGACTTCACCTTTGCTCTCCCTACCCACAATCCACACTTGGGGTGACAATGGCGCCTCTCCTGCTAACCTCTGAACTCACCTCCTGCCCCCCCCGCTCCATTGCCCCACCTGCCCAGGGGCTACCCCCACCCCACCCTTCTCCACTGCCTGGTGACGCCGGGCCTGTCGCACCATGGAGATGTCAACCCAGTAAGACCAAGTGCTGCGGCCAAGCCCCATGTGGGGGGGTGTTTCTGATGCCCAGGGGGTTGGTGCCCCCCGGGCCTGGCTGGGCACATCGGGGAGGACAGGAGGAGGGCGGGCTGCTGTCTGTGGCGGCCCCGGATAGCTCAGTGTGGTCAGACTGTGCCACATCACAGCCTGAAAAGAACCAGGCCACGGGATAGACGCCCTCCCTGCCCCTGCACCTGCTGCTCCCACATCCCGGCCTCCGGCCGACCCCGCTGGAAGCCCTCGGCCAGGGCCACGGCCTCGGCGCAGGTCTCGGGACCTCGTTCCCAGACCCAGCTCTGCATCTCCCCCGGCAGGATGCTCAGGAACTGTTCCAGGACCAGCAGCTCCAGGATCTGCTCCTTGGTGCGGCGCTGGGGCTCCAGCCAGCGGCGGGAGAGCTCCCGGAGCCGGGCCCAGGCCTCCCGTGGCCCACCAGCCTCCTGGTAGCTGAATCCTCGGAAGCACTGGCGCCACCTCTCTGCCGCAGCCTTGCCCACTCCCAAGATGGCTGCCTTGCCAACACCCAAGATGGCCGCTTTGCCATAATCTTTGGTGTCTCCGGCCTCCAGGCTGCGGTAGGCCTCGCCACTGAGGGTTGGCATGAATTGTGTCTGTTGCTCTTCCAAGATGGCCACTTTGTCCACTCCCAAGATGGCTGCCTTGTCCATTCCCAAGATGGCTGCCTTGTCTGCCCCCAGAATGGCAGCTTTCCCATAATCCTTGGCATCTCCAGCCTCTAGGCTACGGTAGGCCTCGCTGCTGAGGGCTGGCATGAATTGTGTCAACTGCTCTCCCATGATGACTGCCTTCTCATAACCCTTGGCATCTCTGGCCTCCAGGCTCCGGTAGACCTCACCATTGAGGGTTGGCGTGAGATGCGTCAACTGCTCTCCTAAGATGGCCGCCTTGTCCATTCCCAAGATGGCCTCCTTGTCCACTCCCAAGATGGCTGCCCTATCTGCCCCCAAAATGGAAGCTTTCCCATAATCCTTGGCATCTCCTGTCCCCAGGCTGCGGTAGGCCTCACCGCTGAGGGTTGGTGTGAGTCGTGTCAACTGCTCTCCCAACATGGTCACCTTGTCCACTCCTAAAATGGCAGCCCTATCCACCCCCAAAATGGCAGCCTTCCCATAATCTTTGGCATCTCCGGCCTCTAGGCTGCGATAGGCCTCACTGCTAAGGGTTGGCGTGAGTCGCATCAACTGCTCTCCCAAGATGCCTGCTTTGTCCATTCCCAAAATGGCTGCCCTATCCACCCCCAAAAGGGCTGCCTTCCCGTATTCCTTAGCATCTCCACCCTCTAGGCTGCGATAGGCCTCGCTGCTGAGGGTTGGTGTGAGACGCGGTAATGGCTCTCCCAAGATGGCTGTCTTGTCCACTCCCAAAATGGCTGCCCTATCCACTCCCAAAATGGCAGCCTTCCCATAATCCTTGGCATCTCCAGGCTCTAGGCTGCGATAGGCCTCGCTGCTGAGGGTTGGCGTGAGTCGCGTTAACTGCTCTCCCAAGATGGCTGCCCTCTCTGCTCCCAAGATGGCCGCCTTCACCTTCCCATAATCCTTGGCATCCCCTGCCCGTGAGCTGCTGAAGGCCTCGCTGCTGAGGGTTGGCGTGAGTCGTGCCAAGCGCTCCCCTCGGGGCCATGGGCAGGCGTCGGTTGCTTGCCCAAAGAGGGCGCTGTTGTCTGGCAGGGTGGGGCTCTCCCAAGGGGGGAGGACTTCCAGGGGCGACCGTTGCCCCCACCAGCATTGGGGTGTCTCCTCAGGCCGGGCCTGCTGAGGAGCCGCCCACCTCAGCAGCTCCCCGATGGTCCCGGCCTGCACCAGCCATGGTGCCTTGCTGGCCGCCTCCCACTCCCAGCCTGGCTCTGGGCCTAGCGGTTCGGGCTCCTCCATTTTCACCCGTGGTGCCATCGTCTCCTCCAGCGGATACAGGAAATGGAGGCCCAGGGCTGGGGGAGGCACCTCTTGAGTGGCGGCCATTTTCTTAGCTCAGCAGGGAGACGGTAGCTGACTCTCCACTCTGACTCTTGATCCCCAACGATGACTCTCTGGTAGGCCTGTTGGGAACCTCCAGGCCACTAGCCTCGTCCCCACCGGGCCTGTGCTGAGGTCACTCGCCGTACAGCTGATCCCACTGCTGACACCAACTGGGCCAGATAAGATGATTTGGGGTTCTAGGAGGAACACACCAGCTCGTTCCTGCATCGTAAAGGAGGAACAAATGGCAATGAGAATAGAAATGAGACAGTCAGGAGAAAAGGGGGTGGGACTGGGACCTGGGACTCCTGGGTTCTATCCCTAGCTACCCGGCTTCCTAGGACTGTGGGAGATTCCCAGTTTCATTCAAAATTAAAATAAAAAAAGTTTCTAGCCCTTGTAAAAACAGAGAAAAGGTTGAAAACCAGGAGCCAAGAAAGGCCAAGAAAAAGCCCCAGTGGCTGTTACTGAGTTAAATAATATTGTGGCTTCTTAGCCAGTTCCACAGTTCAGTGGGGACTAAATGATGATTTGGGCCAAGCCGGGTGGGCCAATGCAGAAGCAGGACTGTGCTTTGTGCTGTGGCAGGGCCTAGGCAGCATATGCTGGGATCGGAGCCGTAGTGTCCCGGGTGCTGTACAGACAAAGAAGGCAGTGCCTGGCTCCCAGCCTCCCCCCAACCCACTAGACCCCACTTCCTTCCCAGAGAACCCAGGAGTCCTGGCTCCCAGCCCCCCTGCTCTAAGCCATCTGAGCCCCACTCCCCTCCAAAAGCCAGGGGGAGAACCCAGGAGTCCTGGCTCCCAGACCCCCTATTCTAAGCCACCAGCCCCCACTCCCCTCCCAGAGTTCAAGATAGAACCCAGGAGTCCTGATTCCCAGCCACCCCTCTGCTCTGACCACTAGACCCCACTCCGCTCCCAGAGCTGGAGATAGAACCCAGGAGTCCTGGCTCCCAGCTCCCCCTGCTCTGACCCACCAACCCCCACTTCGCTCCCAGAGCCGGGGAGATAAGGTACCCAGATAGCAAGGGTGAAAAATCGAGACAGAGTGTGGGGGGTAATAGGTGCCTATATAAGAGAGAGCACCAAATATCAGGACTGTCCCTATAAAATCAGGTCACCCTATGGGGAGAGAACCCAGGAGTCCTGGCTCTCAGCCCCCATGTTCTAACCCACCAGCTCCCACTCCCCTCCCAGAGCTGGGGAGAGAACCCAGGAGTCCTGGCTCCCAGCCCCCCCTGCTCTGACCCACCAGCCCCCACTTCGCTCCCAGAGCCGGGGAGATAAGGTACCCAGATAGCAAGGGTGAAAAATCGAGACAGAGTGTGGGGGGTAATAGGTGCCTATATAAGAGAGAGCACCAAATATCAGGACTGTCCCTATAAAATGAGGACATCTGGTCACCCTATGGGGAGAGAACCCAGGAGTCCTGGCTCTCAGCCCCCATGTTCTTTCCAACCATCTCCCTGTCCCCTCCCAGAGCTGGGGAGAGAACCCAGGAGTCCTGGCTCCCAGCCCCCCCACTCTAACCCACCA